TAGGCCAGGTGAAGGGTTACTACGTGGGACGCCTCTTGGTGACCATTGCCAAGAGCCGGGACCTGTTTGTCTCCAAGAGCTGGAAGACGATGGGACAGACAATGCCCTCTTAAAAGGGGACCAGTAAGAAACCAGCAAGGAGTCTAGCAACTGGCAGAGGGTGAGGGTGCACTTGTAGTGTCAATCTGTCCAAGCATGCTGCGTTAAGGGGGTGCCCTGCCTGCCTGCAAAGGGGAAGGAGGCACTTCCCAAATGAAGTGCCTAGTTCTCATGATCAAAACCAGGGAAGGAATGTTCCTTTTCCTTCCCTGTTGAGAGATAGCTCTGAGCAAGAAACCTGGTTTACCTTGATTTGTAACAATAAACACTGCGGTTTCCCAAGTGTCTGTGGTTGGCTTGTTACCTGGTGTTTGTTTTGTTGTGGTGGTTTGTTGTTTGGTTTTTTTTTTTTTTTACCCTGGCTTTCTCTACTGTGGCTTTCCTAAAAAGCAGCTGCCTCTCTCAAATGTGGATCTGCTCTGTAGAAAGAATGGCTGGCAGCACTGCCTGGGCAAAGCCTGCCTAGAACCTTGAGCAGGTCATGGCAATCCTGGAACTCAACAGAACATCATGCAGTTTTGTGTCAACATCTCCACAGCAGCTTTAATTATGTCACTTATAGCACTAGACTTCAGCCAGAAGGGCTGGTTACTGTGAGACTTTAAATTATAGATATGCTGCTGCTTTTATTTCTTGCTTTTTCTTTTTAAGTTGAGAAATTCCCAGAGCAGAAGTCAGGTTTGTAACAATAACCACACTTGACACATCTTTTTCTTTTTTTCTTATAAAACCAACAAAATCACCATGAAATATTCCCAGTAATTACAGATATTATTGTGAGTTAAAAGCAAACCAGAAGCTCCTCATGCATCAACTTCTAAACCTTTTCCCCCCTCTCTGTGGGCTGTTTACCACTTACCCCCAAGGGAGGGGAAAAGGGAACATTTTAAAGAGCTTTCTTTGAAGTGTGTATGTGTATGTGAAAAATTCATCACTACAAATCTAAAATGAGGTTACTCTTTAGAAACTCCTAAACTAAAGTAACAAGGAACACTAAACAAATTCCTGAAAAGAGATGGTAACTCAATTGCTTCAGGTGATATAAATGAGGATGCTGACAGCGTGAAGGAATGGGACTAAACCCCTCTCATCTCTAGTCACAGCTCTTCATCAAGTCACAACACAGCACACTACTACCACTCCCCTTCCTCACCACACTGAAAAAATAAAACCCACCTCTAATGCATTTAATGCTACTCAAGTTTGTTGAAAAATAAAGTTTCATTTGGCTGCTGTTGCTACTTCAGGTCTAGCTTCGCCATCTCTTGCACGTAGATGCCGATGCTTTCACTGTCGAAGAGCAGGAAGTAAATGTTCTTCAAGGAGGAAGAGCTGGTGCCATCAAAATGGGTGGAAATAGCTCTGAGAGTCACTTGGGCTGCTGTCTGTTTGGGGAAGCAGTTTCTATGTGGTAGGGGAAGAAAACAGAACGAGGCAGTGTCAGTCACCTGGGCAGGCACCACGTGGTGGTGCCCAAAAGGAACAAGCCGTGCCAGCTCCAGGTAAGATGGTCCTACCTGCCACTGGGAAACGGAGGGAAAGCCACGGACTTCAACTTCTTGTCTTCTGCAGCTGTCAAGCAGTTCTTTATAGTCTCTTCCAGCTGCTCTTCACACTTGTCGGAGCCCCACTGTGGGATGTGACAGTGGATGACAAACTTTGCTGCTAGGCCGCTAGACTGAGTGAGTGCAGCTGACACAAACAGAAACACCACATTTAGTTTTGCACAGAAACCACCCTGCAACAACCTCTCAACCCAAAGTGCTCCCTTCATCACATTCCCTCTCCAAAGAAACACATCAGAGGTTAAAATCCACCACAGTGGCTCTCTGGCAGTCATACTCTGCCTTGTCATTACTTCTGGGATCACAGAACCCAGGGCTCATTTGGTTAACACACCAATAACACTTTACAGCTTTCTCATTCAGCACAGTATCAAATGAATCTGGATTCCCTGGATTTGCTACATGCAAAGCACCAAAACCTGGCACCGGACACAGTGTCATTCATCCCCTCAACAGACATTTCTGCAGTGCTGTAACAGCCCTATCTGAATGCTTTGCACAAATACCCTGCATCATCATTACAGCTCCAGGGGGTCAGGGAGTCACATTTAGACCCACTTCACAACCAGGTGCTTTCAGACAACGACATGAAAAAAATCAAAGGAGTTTGTTGAAAGTTTCCACCAGTTATGCCCAATTTGGAATCTCAGATTCATTTTTTTCAGGAAGCATATCATTTCTCCAGGACCTGCAGAGCCCACAGAGCATGGCATCAGGTTGCTTTTGTTGCAATTGGGACCATTGGCACTTCTGAAATTCCAGGTCTTGGAATCTCAGGTTAAACACCCTGAAATTAGATGTGCAATTAATGCCCAAGGATTAAAAACTTGGATTTATTCACTTGTCCACCATCACAGAGGGATTCTGTTGCAGGCACAGAGGAATCCTGTCTAACGCTTCACTCTGCCAGTGAAATTCCAACCAGCAGAAGAGAAGTGTCAGGCCTTTAACCATAGAGAGCAAATTGACTCCAAGCAACATGAGTATCCCGGTGAGCAGCACTTGAATTCCAGCCCACCAGGTGTCAAGTGTTTTGTTGGCAGTAGGCCACCAGTCATTAAACACCATCACTTGCCTCAAAACCAACAGAAGGGGCAATTTCCAACACAATAACACACCAAACAAACAGACAAAACCCAACCTTTTTTTCCTATCTATTAAACTAAGATTATCTTCTTTCCTAGGACTGGTTTAATAGGGTAAAAGGACCCTATTTTTCAGTTAGGTAGTGATGTTGACAGAGGAAAGTAGTTTACTTTGATGTTATGGCATAATGCAAAAAGCAAAGCATCTTGTACAAAACTTGCCCTGTCATTTGAGATTATAAAAGCTATTCCTTTAGGAAAGGTTAAAAAATAGACTATGTCAAGCACTTTTTATCTTGGGCATGAAGACACTAAGCCAAATAAGGCACTGGAAGATACATTGCAAGTTCTCTTTGTGTGCCCTCCAGCCACCTTCAACCCCTATGAACTTGTTTCATTTGTTGACTAAAGAAGACAACCTCAAAAGCCAAACTATTCACTGTGAAACCTTTGAAGGGAGCTCTTCTGTAATTTGTACTTCTATCATGAAGCTGCAGTGCCTGGGACAAGAGCAGAGATTGCTCTTCCAGAAAGCATGCCAGCTCTTAAGAACATATTGAATCTTTATTTCTGTTCAAGGTAAGGTAACTATTTGGATTATACCCTGCATCAAATATGCATAAAGCAGGATGATTTATAAACCCTGACTGTTCTTAAATCTCCTATGTCAGGCCGAGAGCTGTTTCTGATCCTCACTAACAATGTGGTACAAAAACAGGACAGGGAAGATGGCACAAAAGGTGACAGCACAAGTTTTTGTCTAATTTTTTGGACGCTTACAGACTGGAATTGCCCAAAGGGGAATTAATCAGCCTGATGGAACTTATGGTGCCACTGAGAAGCTCAAGGACTGGATGTGCACAGCACACAGGTATCCTATTCTACTCCCTTCTTTTTCCCCTAAGCAGGCTGCCCATATCTGCAACAGCTTTAAACAAGAAACAGAAACATTTCCAACACATAAGCAAAGGCACATGTAGATCAGAATGCCCAGGGAAAAGAACAGATGGAGTGAGCTGTTTCCAAAAGACTGTAGTATCCTTTTTACCTTCAGCAACTTCCAAAGGTCCTTGAGATTTGCGAAGCTCTTTCACTGTTTCTAAAAACTCCTTCCCACCAGCCTTTTCCAATGCTTTGCCTGCAAGGACACAGAGTAAAAGGCCTTGGCTTCAAAGTATCAGCACAGAAAAACAACTCTGTGTTATTTAAAAGAATATGGTACACATCTTCTTCTGCTTCCCTCTATCTGAAGTTTATGTTTACCACACTGTCTAGCCACAGCCAAAGTTAACCTGTTATTGGTTTTGAAAATCTCTGTATGTTATTACTGGAAATCACTTTAATAAAATGATCTGTCACAGAATGTTATCTTACTCTGGCTTCTGGCTAAAACAGTGAAGAGTGGGATTTCCAGGACTCAGCTTTTCAGCCTCCAAAAATCAACTCAATGTACAAACTCCACTGCTTTCTGAAATGAGCACAGCTGGGATGCCAGTGAATGTCCTGATAACCAACTACATAAAACAATGGTCCCAAAGCCTGCTACTGGATTCTCTGCCTCTCTGCAACCAACTGCAACTCGTTTTTACCTCCCTCTTCCTTCAATTTCCGTATTTGCACATCAGCAGTAAAATCCCCTTATTTCACATGAGCAGCATAAGACCTTGTACCTGAGTATTTCTAAGGCATGTAAAATCCTACAGTGAAGAGAATAATTGGAAGAGTTACTAATGCATCATTTTCTTCACAGAATTTTCAGAGGGAAAATGTCAAAACAATCCAATAAATGCCACAATAATGTTTATTTACACCTTTGCTGCTCGTGTGCCTCAACAAATTACCTGTGCTTAGATTGATTGTCAAAAGCCACCATTAATAAAAGAGAAATTAGTGATTAGCTTGTTATACCTAGACAGATCCAGCCTGATTTTCAGAGGTGGTGTAAAGGGATATGTTATGACCTGGGGAAGATTCAGGTGAAACAGAGTGGGATCTCCGCAGGCAGCTAGCAGACCAGCTGGAGTTCCAGCTCTAGAGGTGTTTTTCTCAAGCAAAGCCTCACCTACTTCCTCCTTGAGGTCTATTTCAGCAGTGGTGGGGTGAACGATGCCTTCTACTTTCATGGAGCCAATATGGCTGATGTCACTCTGTGTCAGAGAGAGCTGTCAAATAACAATGAGAGTAGAAATCAAAACAGCAATCCAAGTTTAAACTTGTTTCCATACTAAAACCACTAACATTGAAAGAAGGCTGGATTCAGCCTTTCAGAGATCAGCAGTTACGTGTGATTCTGATTTTTACCTGTTCATTAATTCGCACACCCCTAAGATTTTTTTGTGACAGGCCCACAGCTTGGGAGCTTGCTCCAGAAGAAGTTACTGCTAGAGAATTAATATTCTAGCATCACACTTTGAAAAGAAAAAGCTACCTTTGGAAATGTTTCCATTTAAAGAGAAAAATATTAAAATGAAAAAGCTTTTCCCCTGTAGAAAACACTTCAGTGTAGAGACTGAGAAGGGCTGAACACTATCCTGGGCTGTAAAGGCTTCACCACCCAAGTAATTACTTTCCCTTAGACTTCCTGGTATAAACAAACTAAGGAATGTTTTTACCCACCCACGCATCTAGATAGAAGGAACTTGCCAAAACTTGATGCCTTAGGGTGCTCAGAAAAGGCTGCTCCCCAGATTTCACAGCCCCATGACTTTGAGCAACAACAGAGGACTAAAACCCTCAACACCATTAAGAAGACTTCAGAGCTGCTGAACACATGCCCAGCACAGCTTAAATCTTTCAAGACAGGCTGCAATATATAGAGATTTAGGTTATGGTTGGACTTGATGATCTTCAAGGTCCAACCAGGATGACTCTATGATTCTCTGTCCTAACCAGAACAATAAGCACTGCCCATTTTAAAGAAGAAAATGAGAAGCTGCACAGACTTAGGACAGGACAGAACTCCAGTAAAAGAGATCCAAGTTTCATTTAACTAGCCAGGTGACTGCTTTCAGCAATCTTTTGGATCTGTCTGGCCCATTCTAGACTCCTGGTTTAGCAAGAGATGGGATCAGGTGGATTCAACTCTTAAGCACTGCCTCATAGAACAGGGCAGACCACCAGCAGAGAGGGCTTACAGAAGCAGTTTCAGGAAAAACACTTCTTCCATGTAGCATTACTATCAGAAATAGCAACAGCAACCACAATAATACATTTTAAAAGTGTTGACTATATTTCCATAGTTAAATCTGTAAGAAAAACTCCAGCTTCATTCAGAGGGTCCAAAAATTAAGGCAGGCAAACTCTCTCCCCTCTTGGTCAGTACAGGGAGGAGAGGGAAATAAAAGGGACTGATGCCAAGGACACAGGGATACTTTGGTGGGACAGTTTTGTAATTCTGGCCAGGCACAGTGTCAGTCTGTGCTGAGATGGAGAAGCAGGCATGTCCTGCATCTCTGGTGAGGTCCTCAGTTTGTACAGCAGGAGAGCAGGGTCCCACCACCCACCTTCAGATGGGGCACTCAGGCTTCTGGCACAAACCAACATGTGGAAACTCTGGGTGACCCTAGGACCTGGCCCAGAAATACTTTTTTGTAAGGAATAAATAGCCTAGAGGGTTAAACCTGGTTTGGCACTGTACCAGGCACAACGCAGCCAAGTCCAAACCAAACCAAACTGCAACACAGCTTAGGCCAAGAAACAAACAGTGTGGATTTTATACTGGTGCTAGGTCAAAAACATCCTTCCATTTATGCAAGGCTCCCAGTCTGTTGAAACTTTCTATTACCTTTTGTCCTGGCATAAGGCTCTTGGAGGACAAGATAGTGAAACCATCCCCAGGTCCATCTTCAGATGTTGAATTTGAAGCTCCTTCTTTTTCACTGTCCTTTTGCTTGTTCTGTTTGAGGGGGGGAGAAAAAAGCAAGAACTCTCAAAAGAAAAAAAAAAAGAAATAACATTGACATTTTCCCATTAACCAGCAATGGATGGATTTAATCTGTTAATCCAATCAATAAATTACTCCGAGCCTTTTAATCCCCAAATATTATTTTAATTATTCTTTTAATCCCCAAACAGTTATTCAGTGTTTATATAATGTTAAACCAGCAATGGTTGATCTGAGGCATTGCATATGTTTGTAGCCACATTATAAGCTGTAGTTTCACTGAAAATTAAGGTTTTGTTTACAGGTGGGTGTGTGCTAGTTTATTTTTGCTGCTAACAGAGAAGAGCTCCTACTAAATCAAACTTAGTAACTTAGTAACCCAGTCAAATGCTCCAATCTGAAGCAAAACAACAACTTCATGATCTGAAAAGGAAAAAGATCATAAGTCTCATCTAAGTCAATCATAAATCTGAATCCATATTGCTAGGAGCAAGCCATCACACCTCTCTAAAAGCAGGCAGAGGACAAAATGAAGTAACTCACAGCTGAAGATTGAGTGCAAAAATCCCATTTGTGGGACACGCTCCTTCATGCAGCCTAGTTCCAGGAGCAGCAAACCTGTTCCTACCAGGGCTGCAGGAGCATCTCCTCACATCTCTCAGTATTTGCTTTAACGTATGTCAAGAAGACATAACTCTTCCTAGCAAGTTCCAAATCCTGCACGTGCACAATTCAATGTGAGGTGGTAGCTGAGCTCAATACACAGAGGCATCCTATTAAGGATCCTGTTTTCTTTTAAAAAATTGTTTCTACATATTCTCAGCTGTGGAAATGTATCAAAGCTTAGAGGCCTCCAGAAAGATGTGCTTCTTACAAGTTTAAAAAGCCTAGGTCAAAGCTTATTATTGTTTCATCCGACCCAATCAAAGATTTAGCAGTGTTATAAGATGCATGCTCTGGAATGACAAACCAGATCTGGGTCACTCCTTTACCAAATTAGACCATTTTGGATGGTGACAGAGGATGGGCAACTGTAAGGGAAGGTGCAGTGGTCAAATTCTGATTCCTTTATTCTTCTGGCAACTCTTTTAAAAACCAGTAACAACAACACACCTGAGAACACATGAAACCAAGAGCTTGTCAAAACAACATTTATGTACCATGTCAGGACAAGTTCTCTGCACAGTGAAAAGTCTTTAACAGCAACCTGGTAACTGCACAAGGTTGAAGGTGTGACATCTGTCAGGCAGACAATGTTTTAAAACACAGCTTCCTTTCTTTTAAAAGCCAGAGCTCACTGCCACACAGTTAGCCTGGAGATACAGATATTCTACACAGTTACCAAGAAAGTATTGCAAAGGGTGACATGGAAATCTGAAAAGTATCCCTCAAAGCTTTAAGGGCTTTTGTTATGAAAACTCATTACTAAAATACTGTGTTTGCCTTTGTTTCTGAAGTTTAGAGAAAAAAAATACAATCTATTATTAGCTCCTACCTCCCATTTCCAATTGTTACAAACAAAACAATGTGGAAGCACTAATTTATTCCTCCTAATAATCTAAGTTGGTTTTGATCCACTGCCTCTCCCACACCTCTGGAATATCAGCCTCATGTTTACCTTTTTGGGTGTCCGGGCCTTAGTAGACTTTGCCTTCTTCCCACTCTTTTTGTTCACCATGGATTTCCTTCCCTTCTTCTCAGGAGCAGGTGAAAGGATGGTCTCAGATTTGCCTTTGGCACCCCGTTTCTTGGCTAGAAGCTCTGGCTGGATTCTGGGCAGGACACCTCCACTTGCAATAGTCACACCTTTTAGCAACTGCAAGGAAAACTATAGTGTAAACGAACATGTTCTCACTGTTCTTGCTAAGTGACACGTGCAAGTAGACTCCACACCTCACAAAGGATTGCATCTCATCCCTTTGTCATGAACAAAACCACACCACAAAAAATATGAGGGAGAAAACCCACAATAACAAGAAACCTGGCAGGTCACAGCACAGCCCAGAGAACTCTTCAGGTCAGTCACTCTTCTCTTCCAGTGCTGGATTTCTGCATCCCTGTCCTTGGTGACTCACGGAGATGATAAGGGCCTGCAGGCTACTTAAAAATAAAATGATGGCACTGCAGCCTTGCTCAAAGTACAACTGATCCTTTTGTCTCGGAAGCATTCTGTGAAATCAAGCAAGAGCCCCAGGAACCTGCTTTGGAGAGGTGAACAATGGGCTGTGATATTAGGTGGAAGAAAAACCCTGGCTAATTCCTAATGGACAACAGTAGATCTAGTCCCCAGTTCACAGCCCCATGGAGCAGAGATTGGGCTGCTAGGGTTTGTATGGTTTTCCCTCTCTCCTGGCTTCTCTTCTTACATTTTCAGTCCCCTGGACTGGAAACCAAGCTGGATGATTTCAGGGGCACCACATTTTAATTATTTAAAGCAGTCAAATTAAGTGGAATCTTTCAAAGTGTGAATGATGTCACCCACCTTCACATGGGGCTGACAAAGAAGAGATCCTCAGATGCTGACTGAACCTTGCTGGCACCCCTGAATGCTGCAATTCACAAGCCCATGCCATGATCACTCTTCCCACTCAACAATTTTAGCAGAAGCCATCTCACAAGTGATCCACAGTCGGGGAGCTAATGGACCTGGGCTTACAGAGCAGGAGGCAGTCCTGGAGGCAGCAGTAGTAGAGAGAGGGCCAGATCCATATCCAAGATGGGCCTCCCAGACAGTATAATAGAAAACACACATTTTTACAGCTTTTGGGGAAAGGTCTTCCATGGGGCACATTTTCTTTATGTACTGGGTGTTGCTGAAGAAGAAAGAAATTCAGCATCAAGTTCACCCAATTCAAAGAGGACTCAACAGGCTATGGAAAGAAGCAAAATTCATTTCCAGAGGATTTAAGATGAGAACCTTCTTTTTTGTTTGCTTTTTTATCCAAGAATCTTGTCTTCCTCTGCTCTAATAATCATGCTCTCATTCATGTGTCGGACTAAACAGTGTCTGATCTGTGGAAGCAGCTTCACTCAGCCTGTAACTCTCACACAGAAATGCAAACAGGTACCTGATTCAGTTCCTCATCATTTGCAACTGCCAGGAGGATGTGTCTGGGGGCAATTCTTCCTTTCTTGTTGTCTCGTGCTGCATTTCCTGCTAATTCTAGAATTTCAGCTGTGAACACATTGAGATAAAAATTAGTAACAAAAACATAACTTATGTACACCCTATATACACATTTTACATCCCTTCTTCATATCCATTTACCTTTTCAAGGATGCTTTCCAGTTTAAATGCTCTTTGCTACAGAGAGGCAGGAACCAAACCACATTAAATGTGCTTGCAGATTTACATCAAATAATTTGCCCTTCCTAATTCCCTGAAGGACAGCTAGGAGGAAATATGCTTAGCTTAGTTCACATAACTTCTTTTACAAGTCCCAAGTCAGAATTCTTTCAAAAAAAAACAACAACAAAACACCACAGGACACCCCATAAAAATGTACACCAGCAGCCCAAAATCCAGCACTAACCCTATAACAATAAAACAGTAAAACATGCAGTGAAACCCCAGCTCGAGTACAGACAGTTCTGACAAAACAGCAAGGATTCTCAGGACCAGGTAAGACAAAGACTGAGGTGCATTTAAAGAAACACTTTGAAAGCCAACAAACCAGCCAGGCAACACTGCAATTCTGCATGAAAGGGCATTGAAAATCTGTGAGAAGCTTCACTTTAGAACAAGATATGAAAGGTTTGACTTAGAGGCAAGCAGAGACAACCTAAGAGCATGAACTATTCAAAACTACAAACAATGTGTGAACTGTGGGTAGAAAGTTCCTTCTGCATCTCTGGGAACAGGAGGCCACTTTAAAAGTAGTTTCTCTAAATTTGCAGTAGGATTTATGCTGCCACGAGAGTCACTGAGCTTTTTCTGAGTGTTACAGAGGAAATGCAGACACATATTTCTGAGTTCATTTAAACTGTAGCAATCAGTATAACTCATTAGCTTACACAGTCTGGCTGCTGCTCAGAAGTTATTTTCTCAGGTAAGAACTCTACTGAAAGACTGAGAAGGGGGTGTTCTGCTCCAAATGATCATAAAAATCATATTCACCCCTTTTTTCATTTTAAAAGTGGTCATTTTTCCTGCCTTCTGGTTTTGTCTTTACATCTGTCAGTAATAGGAGTAAGAAAGTTACAGCCCATCAGTGTCCTGTTAATGATATCTTAACTCCTTTTTGTCAACTAAGTAATGAACTGTAACCATTATAAAAAGCAGAATGTTCATGAAAAATCTAGTGGAAATCCACATCATGCCCTCTGGCTAAAATCCAAGAGATTTCAACAAGAGGGTTTAGCCCTCAGTTCATGGGAAAAAGACAAGCTTTCCATTTCACTCAGTTAGAATAACAAAAGTGCATACTTGTCATCCAGTTTTCACTCCTATGCAGCATGAGTGCTGAACTGAATGCTGGAGGTGCAAAAACCATTGTTTGGAATTCTGTGCCTATTCACAGTGGATTGTTTAAGAAACAGCCAGCCTGGGTTGGAAATTTTCACAGCTATCCCTGCAAAACCTTCAAGAATCATGATCAAAGTTGCATTTAGTTGCAATTATCACAGAGAGGCACTTAATTCCAGAGAACATTGAACTGTGGTTGCAGTAACTGTCACAAGGAAAAAGCAGTGAGTAATCTGACCATCAGAAATAGTATCACACCACAAATACACACTGAGCCTACACTAAAAGTTGGGGTAGGAACCTCAGCTCTGGCTTAACTTTGGAGTGTCTGACTTGGATTTGAAAGGAGACTGGAAAGAGATTCTGCGTAATCCAGCTACATTCACCCCTGTGGGGGCTGGAAGTTGTCCCAGACCTCTGCCAGTGGAGCTAATGCAGCAGCAGACAGCAGGAACAGATTGCCATCCACTGGGCAGACCAGCACAAAGCAAGGAAAGAAGACTCCTCCAAGGAGTTTTGCAGTTTGGTGCTGATAGCAGAAGAAGATTGCATCGAGGGGGAAGAAAAAAAAGAAGCAACACATACTTACCTGGGTGGTAACTGAAGTTCTTGCAGATGTGCCAACAACAGGCACATCCTGCTACCTGTGTGCTCACCCCACTCCCCCAGGTTCTGGGTCCTTTGGCCAGCAGCATCCTGATGGTGCACTCAAATGTCCTCTGCCTAATGTTAAGAGCAAAAAAGGCAGAACACTCAAATGCCAGCCTCTACCACAGGACACCAGGAAGGAGGGAATCCAAGGAGAGATGATGTATGGCAGACTGTGGGATATGCATATAACTTATCAAAGGATGCCAATTATTTGCACAGGTAAATAACTGCCTTACCTCCTTCTACTAAGTGTCTGTATGCTTGTTTTTCTAGTGCTGGAGGCAAGGACTCAATCTTAGGAACGTAAAATGGCACTTGCAAAAAGCAACATCAACTCTGGAGGCTTCAGTTATTCACATCCTCTGCTGATAAGAACAGATCCCTAAAGAAACTACTTAACCATTTCAAGTGGAAACATCTTGACAGTTGAGGTTATCTAAAACTCTAAAGAAACTAGTCTGAGAATATAGGTCCTGTAATGAACTCCTGTGCTATAACAAGCCCTCTTGAAACTGGGCATCTTGATGTTCTCAGACATAAGTTGGTATTACTTTCCCTCCTCTCAGCAGGCATGAAGAACTGAAGTGAAATCTGAAATAATCTTGCTTCCCTCAAGATTCAAAATCCACACAAGATGCCTCCACACTGGAAGAATAACTTCAAATGGAGATGACTAAAATCTCATTTATCCAACTCCACAGTTCACCTCAGCCTCAGACAGACATTGAGGGTTATGTCAAGAGCACAGTGCCCAGATCTGTCCACTGACACGACACAGCACCCACTCAGAGAGCCTTTTCTCCAGTCTGATGAGTGCTCAGGACCAAGGAAAAACATCACCATCTTCCAACCAACCCAAGAAGAAGCTACGACCCGAATGTTACTACATCTTCTCATTCAGTGACATACAGGAAAAAAAGGTTTCTTCAGCTGATCAACTACAAGCATTACAGGCAGGCCAAAGTTATTTGCTCAACTGAGCTCAGCCTACTTTTGTGATGTGCTCAGCTGGACAGGTAGGAAAGACAAATGAGAAGTACTGGCAGAAGAATTGGAAAGATTTCAGACAAGATTTCTTGTTTTCCACTTTGCCTTTAGAATAAGTTTTGGCAGTTGCTGTTGCACTACCATGTAGAAATCTACCTGATAATATCTTTGCTCTGAAAAGACATATCAGATGATGGAGTCCTTAGTCCTCCATTTGCAAGTGGAAAAGTATCTCCTCCATTTGTCTCTTGGCAGCAGATGAGTGAAACAGACTGAGCAGAATGCCAGCTGATGTCCTTTGAAGGAGGAGGTCTTTGCTGGAGTGGTGTTCTGCCCTAATTTAGAGAAGGCGGCTTTCTACTGACATCTTCTGTGAGTTCCTGTGGCCAGCACACCATTCACATGTCTTCTGCCTCCTAAGCAAGAGGCACCTGCATTATTTTGTCTACATGTTGGTGTATCATGGGACATATGCAGCTGATGTTTGATTTGGATGCTGATGGCTGTAGTCAGGCCCCTGCGTGCTCAGAGCATAGTCTGGCATGGATCTGTGGTAAGGTCCATCAATCCAATGTGACAGAGGCCCAATTTTTCATGGAGTTTTAACTCTGAAGTCATTGGAGCTCAACACTGTTCCAGTAAACACAACCTTCTTGACAGGAATTAAGCTGCAGTTTTGCAACACGTGCTTCAAGCCTAAGATGTAAAACAGCATAGAGAGATTACCAAAAATAAAAAAGCCTTAGAACACTGATGACATCATCTTCACATTAGCTAATCAGCTGAGGTAAAAGTACCTCCTTTTGAGACACACGGCAGTGATTGCTGGCATCCTGCCAAGCCACAGATTTGGTGTTGATAATGGTTGTCAGGTGCCACACATTGGGAGCTGGAGGCAAGCTTTGTCACTCCATGGGGGTGATGCACGGGCAGTCTGGGCAGCACTGGGAGCTGAGAGAGGCTGGAACATGCTCAGCAAGAGCCAAGCCCTCAAGAGGCTTTAGCTGTTAAAATCAAAGAAGCCTCTGCTGAGCATCTGTGATTTTTCAAAGTTACCACCTGGCCCAACAGAGCAGGTTTCTCCGAGATGGCAGAAACCACCCTTCCCATTGCATACAGCATCAATTCTTTGCTCAAATGCACCCAGGTCTTTAGAGGAGACCTTCTCACTAATGTTTTAACTTAACATAAACTCGTGGTTCACCTGGCTTCTGTGAAAGAGTTGAAGAACCAGAGTCCCTTTCTCCAACCCTCTCAGACATCACCTGAAGCAGTTCCCACCATGCAGGCTCCCAGCCTGAGCAGCCATCATTTCACAGTTGCAAATCCACGAGAGAAAACTGGAATTTGTAACATTTCTTAACGTTATCTGGTACCTCCTGTTATCAGTTTTAAGACAACAGCCTCAGAAAATGACATTTTGTTTCCAAAGGCTTCCCAAATCCAAAGACTATACTCGCACACAAAGTGCAGGCCCACACACAACCTCCCCATATCACATTAAAATATTGAAATGAAACTGCACTTCCTAGCCAAAAGCAGAGCCAACACCTAACACTGTTCCAGTTCAGGTAGCAGGTGCACAGTGCTGTGCTGTATGATCTAAAAATAAGACCATAACTCAGCCTGCACTGCTGAAGTGCTGCATATACCAGACGTGCTGCCAACAATCTACTACTACACCTTGTAATGATTGCCACAGCTCAGAACCAGCACTTCCAAATACTTATCCTAAAACCTCCTTTGAACACTGTGGATCCTTGTGAAGTGGGAAAAGAAAAAAAATGTATTCCTCCCCAGACTGAAGGTCAGCAGAGTTATTATTCAATTATAAAAGTGACTGCAATATCCAAAACCCATGTAATAGTGTTTTCATCTTGCAATACCCACACATCCAGAAGTCTGTACAGGATTTCTAAGTGATTTCACAATAAAGTTAATACACCTGACCAGAGAGAAATTACTATTAATGATGTTCCTGAAGAGGCCTGAACTTCCACCAGAAAACACACAAGGGCCCATCAAGAAAATCAAGGTTGAAAATCACTCTGGCAGAGCTACGAGAGCTATGAATCCTCCACCTTTCACCCCTAACTCCCTGCAGCCTCTGAAGCATCCCTGCTGAGTAGCACCCCACGTTGCAGACAGCTGAACAAGCTCTGCAAGTCATGGACCTCCCCAGCACAACTGCACCAGCTCCGCTGAGAGAGAGATTCAAGAGTTTGTTTTCAATGTACTAAACCAGACTGTGCCAATATGACTTTATGTATGCTCTTAATCAAGTGAAAGATCTTCGCCAACATCACTTAAGAGAACTGATCTTCCTCTATGATGAAACAATCTCAGCACAAACATGTTTGTTCTCACACAGTAAAAAAAATAAAAATAAATCAAATCAAACTTGGATTTTGATTCTGCTTTTCAGTGGTGGTTTGTTTTATTTTAAAGCCAGCTTCTTTGCTGGACTTATCTCCTGAAGGAGCTGAGGGTGAACACAAATTCAAGCTCAAATATTTTGTTTGCGTTTCTTCTACATCAGCAGTATTTTTTCAGTTCAACTTCAGAAGCAGCTTCAGAAATCAATTCTCAGCCTGTAATTAATCACCACAAATATGGAAGTTTCTGTAACATGCTAGCAGGCATCAGAGATTCATCTTACCAATAGAGAAATTATTATTATTACTATTTCAGATTTTCTTATGGCTTTCATATGTAAAAAAGACAGCAGTGTTTGCATAAAGACAGGAATGCTGTTACATGGGCAACTCCATGAAAGCTTCTTCCATGTTACTCTGGCAATCAACTGGCAATCAATTGTGCTCCTGAAACACAACCCACTCAGCTACTTCATCCAGGCTTGTGACTCCTCACAGATTCTCTAATGCACCTCAGTCTTGATCTGTAACACCTAAGTAACCTGAACCAGAATCGTCTCTCAACCAGGCATTGGAACAATTTGCTAAGGTGCTGTTTTCCATAATTAAATAAGAAATTGAGCAGATATGACCCTAAGACAGTCTGAAATATTGCAATACATTGCAGTATATTGTATCACCACTTGACACGTGCTCCTTCCACTGAGGTCAGTTTCAGAAAGCAAGGGAAAAGAAAACTCAGGGTATGTGGGAGGTTTTAAACCCTGATGTGCTTTCTTTATACACTTAGGCAAGTCAAAAGGATTTTAAAATACAAATGAACAACGCTCACAGTTGATAAGACTTTGATACAGTTCTGCAAGGAGAAATACAGCAAGCAAAATGAAGCTTGTACACTTAAGAAGCACAACAGATGTAGAAGGCAGGTTTGCTTTTTGTTCTCATCTGGGTGCATCAGAAGCTTAATTCACAACAGCTTTTCCTTGGACCAAAACTGCCTAGGTGAGACTTCCCACCCTGCATAGCAATAAAAAATAATCCTTCCAGCTAGTGGCCAAGCATGGTGCCTCTAAAGGAGAACATTTCGATCCTCAGCCTATTCAAGAAGCAAATCAATCTCCTCAGCATTCTGAACAAATTTCAACACACCCTGCACTGGCAGAGCCCAAGTTTCAGAGATGCCAAACACACAGGCATCCCACCCCAGGGACATCCCTGGCTTCTGTGTGTGACCAGCACTTCCAGAAGGAGGTTCTTTGTTTACCTGCTAGGTACTCTATGACAGCTGCCATGTAAACTGGTGCTCCAACTCCTATCCGGTACTTGTACGTGCCTTTCTTCAAGTAGCGCATCATCCTCCCCACGGGGAAGATCACCCCTGCCCTGCTGGAGCGGGACAGTTTGGACATCTTCTTCTTCCCACTTCGGCCTGACATCTTGAGGCTTTCTGCTTCTTTTCAATTTGCTGGTGATCCTTCTCCCCTTGCTCCAACCCAGAAGCTGCAAGAGAAAAGGAAGGGGGTTGGTGCGCAGCGCGTGACAAACGTCTCTGTGCACGCTCTCGTCTCCTTCCAGAGGCAAAGAAAAAGATGCAAACCCATTCTCAATACCTGTTAAAAATTTCTTACTATAAGCTGGATAACTGAAGTATTTGCTACAGGTTTTATTTCAACTGCTACACTGTCGGTGTAGCAATATCACAGGAGAGAAAAAAAAGGGGGGGTTGGAGAATATTAGAGAAAAATAAATTTAAACTATAAAACGTACATTAAATGAATCTTTAAAAAAACCACCAAAATAACAACAACAAAGCACAAATCACACCAAGATAGACACCTGCAGCATGGAATTCTTCCATGCTGATTGTGAAGTTTAGCAAGTTATAAAGAGCTGAGAAGAAGTGGCACACTGGACAGCATGAAAGCAGCCGAAAAGCAGGTGCTGGTGCCACCTCCAAGCAGAGGAAGCCGCACTGCTCACACCGGAGGAGGTAAAACCTACCTACACACACAATTCTTCTTCCCAGGGCTTTTATCCAGGGAATTTCACACACGCGGCTGAAGGAAAGCAGTTATGGTTCAAGCACCTCCTCTGGTGCTGCTCTGGCCTCAGGAACTGAGCACCAGGAGCCAGATCACAGGCTTCACTGCTTTCATCATTTTCCAGGGATCACCTTCAGGGCAGCTCCTGAGAATCCCTGAAGCCTTCCTCCTTGGAGCTAAGGGGAGGTCTTTTATCTCTCATCTTAAAAGGACTGGTTACCAGGGTTTTCTGTCCATCAAGCTGCCTGAAGATGTGTTGCTTCCTCTGCATTAAGAGCCAGTCCAGTTTATACAGAGGAGAAAAGGAAACAAATTTCATTCCCCCCTTGTTTTTCTGGCAACATGGAGACTGCAGGTCAACAAACAACAAACCCTGGAGTCAGGCACTCCTTCAGAGTGTGCACGTGGTTGTAGATACACCCCTAGCTCTCACTCTTAGTCACACAATGGGGAAGTTTTAGCTCTGTTACCAACAATTCTATTCCACTCCATGTTAAAAGCTGCCCTGGTGGCACAACCGTGATCCTGGTTCAACACAACAGATCAAGGTTCACTCCTCTGAAACAAAACAAAGAGCACAATCTGCCATGGATGGCATTCCT